GACCCAGAGTTATCTTTGAAGCCGATGGAATGAGTCAAATAAAAGAAAGAAATCAACGAAGGGAGGTGGGCGGCGTCCTAGAGTGGCGGGACTGGTGGTGTGACGCACTGTCGTACGCTTTCTCCCTGAATCCTCATCGTATCACTCTGTAACTTTATAATTCATTTCCATTCCAGTAGAGATTATACCGTGTTATGCGGTGTTACGTGTTGCCACGCAGTCTTGGTCGGCTCTTCCTCTCCGCCCCGCCCCCCCTCTCCCCCCTTTTTCTCTGTGCCGCTCGCGGCGCTCGCTCTCTGGCCAGCTCGGCCTCATCGCTTCCCGTGCCCCCTTCCCCATCTCTCCTTCTTGCTCCCCCTTCCACCACCCTCCTCCCCTTTTCCCCATCCACTCTCTTTCTCTCTGTACTTTCTTCCCGCTGTCATTCTCATTCTCTTTCGTCTCCTTTTCCTTCATCCTGCTGCCCTCGCATGAGATAGGCATTAGGGTGTTGGGCCATGACTTCCATGAGCCATGCGCTACAGAAAAAGGAATACGGTGTACATAGGATGGAGGCGGTGTAGTGAGCAGCTGCCCCCAGGAGGGCTCGACGCGGACGAGAAGATCCACGATTACACCACGGTGCGACGAATCTTGTTAAAAATATCAAGTCGAATTTAAAAGGAGGGTGGATATCTATCTATGAATTTTAAAATTTACAGTAAGTCTACACTTTACAGTTATATAGAGTCGCAGACAAAGAAAGCGAGTTTGCTTACCGTCGCTTACCATACACCTACACCATGGGGACACATACTGTTATCATTGATAAAAAAGTTTCAGCGGAAGCACATTCGAATCATGACAACTTTCGACAAAATTGTCACTATTTTTCCGTAAGTTTATAGTAACGTTTCAATATCCAAACTGCTTCTCTTTTCAAACATGGTGATAATAGTGCTAGTGCCACAACGAGCAGGAACCCAAGGTAGGTACGCAGGTAGGTATAGATACGCGCGTTGGAATCAGGCAACAGCCCATGCCACCGACACTCTCAGGTCCTTGTCGGCGGCGGCCATGAGCGAGCTGCCCTTGGCCCGCGCAGGACCGTCCCTGCCGAGGCCATGAGCACGCTGCCCTTGGCCGCGTCGGGACAGACCGAGTCCTGCCCATGGCAGCCCGTGCTTGACCACACGACTAGGTCAGGACGTGACGTCACGGGGAGGGCAGTGACCGCGCCGGCCCCAGGCCACTGCCCATGTCAGTGCCCATGTCAGCGTTACGCGCCGTGTCCGGCCTGTCCGGCCCGGCCCGCCCCTGGAGAAGGGCAGGAAGTTCACTGTCAACGAGTCCAACCGGCCGCGGGCCGGGCGAGGCGTGGGCGGGAGATCGTGGGGTGGGTTGAAGAGTTGGGCGCGGGCGGGGAGGAGGTGGGCTGGAGTGTTGAGTTGGGCGCGGTCCAGGAGGCGACGCCCACGTATTTAAAACACCGCGCCCGCCCTCCGGGTCTGAAAAGCGTCACGGTATCGCTTCAGAATCCCAAACGCCGCGATCTAGATCTGCGCGATGTAATCCCGGAGGTGCAAGAGGCACGCCGTCGTCGTGCAGGTGGCGCGGTGGTGAGGAACGTGGGAGAGAAGGAGACCCCGCGGCGGGGAGCGGAGGGGCAGGTCGTTGCTCCCGCAGGGACTTTTCATACTCCGCGGGGAGCACCGCACCGCTCAGCACCGCTCAGCACCGCTCAGCACCGCGCCGCGAGGAGGCCAAGCAGGGTTGCGAGCAGCACGAACGCGTCCCAACGGAGGAGCCCAGCAGAGACCCACCCCCAGCCCCGATCGGACCTTGCAGCCCTTGTGGACCAAAGAGACCCAGCCGACTGATTCCGAAGAACCCTCTCCTATACCTTCCGTATAGCTCCGTCCTTGTCACACTCATAGGGCAGCGCCCTCTTCGAATTCAGTCTGCTGCCTGCAAGGCCTCGAGTGGCCGGGTCTGTATGGCAGGGGGAGTCCATACTGCGCCACTCCGCTGCTCTGTGGAGACCCTGCAGGCTGCAGGGCCGGTCGTAAGGCCGGGGCAAGCCATGCTACAGTCCCTGCCCTGTACCTTACCCTGTACACCCTGCAGGCTGCAGGTCGGGGGAGGCCATGAACCCACTGCTCCCCTCCCTATCCTGTAGACCCTGCAGGCAGGCTGCAGGTCCGGGCGTAGGGCCGGGGCGGGACATGCACGCACTGCTCCACTCCCCTGCCCACTTGCATCATAGCCGATTCTCGCAGAGCCGCTTCCGCGTTGACGTGTGAAACTCTGCTCCCCGCCCCGCAGCACTGGCCAACGAACGCCGACGTCCGCCGCAAGTGGTGGTGTGCCTGGCCGCGCCGCTCCACCCCGCCCCGCCCCGCCCCACCGCGCCCTACGCCGCCGCACCGCGCCGCACCGCGCCTCTCGCGGCAACAACACGGCCCAGGAGGAAGGGGTACCCGGGGTCGACGCCCGCTCTTGCGCGTGGCAACGCCGAGGTGCGAAAACTGGGTTAAGATTTGCCATTGAACCCGTGACTG